CCCCAAAACCCCAAAACCCCAAAACCCCAAAACCCCAAAACCCCAGTTTTCTCAGTCCAGTTTGATAATTATATCAAGTATCATGCCTCATTCTTAAGAAGTTAAACTGACATTTCCTGTTGTGGGAATCTACAACTAGATAATTGCTGGAATTCTATATCATTTGGGCCTAATTATTCATGTGTTAGATCAGGCAACACTTACTCTAAAGAGCTTGATCTTGGTCTTCTTCTTCAGTTCCGGTTTTGATGTCTTACACTCTAACGCCTTATTTCCTTCCTGGTTTGAGATGAACGTGTTTATCCAACTATGAGAAGGAGAGTTCAGGCTAGTAATCGCATTTCTATTACTATTGATCTGCTTTGGCTGTCAGGATTGTTTCTTCCGTGTTTTATAGTGATGCAGTTCTTGATCTCCGTGGGAGTTCTCTTCTTCAGTCAATTTGTGCTGTATTTCCATGCATTTCGGTACATTTTTATTAAACTGTGATGCAAAGCTAGCAAGACCAGTGGTCATTTTCTTCAAGAGTTGCTCATTTATAGACGATTTCTTAGTATTAAGAATCTTGTTTTTACTAGTTCAGCTGTTTGTAACTGTTTCTTTGATAAAGTTATTAAGCTTTATCTTAAAGCCAATAGTGTCCATTCCCTATGAAAATAAGTCTGACAGCTTACCTTGGTAATACTTTTCCCTAGGGAGGACTTTTTATTACGACTTCAGTGATTCTTAACTTTATTTATGAGAATGCTTCCTCTTCTTCGAGCTACTCTGCCTAGTAGAGCTAGCTTTTGGGTTGCTATTCTTCCTCTTTGTAGATTTGTTTGATAGGTATTGGATATTAGTAGCTCCTTTAATCTTAGAAATTGACTTCTGATTCACTCTTTTCCCACTCTGAGGATCTTTCTTTTTATTTACCTACAAATAAACTTGATAATTACTTAATTTCAGCTGCAGCTTTTTAGGAAAAATATTGTTAGTTTTCTCAACATAGAGGTTGAGTAATTTGATACTCTTGGACTTCCCAAGAGTGGATTCATTTCTCTCACTTTGTTTTGAAGTCTTTGGCTTCTTAAACAACAGTTTTGACTTTATTATAGTCTTCTTTTCTTTAGATTTTAGGCTTTCAAAACTTTTCTTTGAGACTGCTAGATCTTCCTTTCTGTATTTGAGATGATATTTATCATAACTAGTGATGAGATGATCTACCAGTGGACAATTCTCTGGTAAAAAGTTAGCTGCAATGAAAGCTCCTTGTGCATGCCACATATCTGAATGAGCACTTGAGATAGAGGGATCTTTCTTGACAATTTCTTTGTTCATTGCTAAAAATCTGAGTTCTGTTGCTACTCAGAAATAACACGAGCAGATCAGAATCAATTTTTCGAGGAGTGCATCCTTATTTAGCTCATGATAGCGATCGGTGGGATAGTTCAGCTCATCATCCTCCATTTTTGCAAGGAACATTACATTTCCAATGTTAAGGTTAAAGATCCAATCTTCTGAGTGCTGGAGCCCAAGTGAGTTTCTAAGGGGTTATCCTCGAATTTACCTAATTGCAAATCCTTTAGAATTTTTAGCAAGAAGCCTCATTTCTTCAATGGTTTGAAATCTGAGCCCGCTGCTAGTCAAAAGATTTGTAAGATCCTTAGATTCTAAGCATAATATCAATATAGCTTACCATCTTGAGAGAGCAAGAACTTATCTCTGTCTTTGATGGACATTTGAGAGAGAAGTTCAAAATATCTCATCTAGAAGAGTAACTCTAAGAAATTACCTTATCAAGGAGATCTTTCAAGGTCGGCCAGGTTTTTGAGAGGTTCCTCTCAAGAGGACCTGTAGGCTCCTCTACATAGTATCACTTAGAGCTATTGCTCTGATTTGACACTATTGAAGAGGATTTGTTAAAACTCTTTTTCCCAGTTGTTATTTGTTTCAAAGTGTTTAGCACTTTGGAAGAAATATTTGTAGATTTTATATTAAATGTGTGCATCCTTTCCACACTTTGAGAGTCTAAACTGGTCTCTCGAATCCTTAAGCTTCGGTCTGAAAGATTACTAAGGCTAATTACCTCTGGAAAAGCTTGATTGAGAAGTAGATTTTTGCAATTTAGAGTTCCTATTTTTGCAACCGTTGGTGAGTAAAGACTCAGAATAAGCTTTGCTCAAGCTTTTAATAGGCTGCTCTGACATCTTCCTGTTGTTAATTTGCAATGAGTTCTTATTTGAAGATGCCTTAAAGAGATTCAAGTGATGCTGCATTAAAATTGATGTCTTTTTAACTAACTCTCTACATATTTTCATTCCTTGGACAGAGAATTTATATGCTTCTTCATGATTATCTTTCTGACTCAATAATGCTCATATCTAAAAATGTTAAATTTAATCCATACTTGAAGAGTAAACTTAGTGTGATACCTTAAGACATGAAGTTGTTTACTAAGATACACCTCTTTTCTCCTCTCTATACCCTCATTAACAACCCAAACACCATAAATATAACTGCGCACTTACCAAGGACAAGTTTGTTTGTTGAAAAGAGAGGTTTGGAGCTACAAAAATTTACCAGGCACCACCAAGTACCTACCTTGACAACTTTCTCTCGAACTTGAGTACCAGTCTCTCTACCAAATCATTGGCATTCTTAAGTTGTTCGATACATCTGTCTCCGCTCTCAATCTCTTTGTATCATCAAGAGAGGTTGTATGACTTAATAATGGCGTCAAATTCTATAAGAAGGCTTTAATTTTCTCTTTGAAACAGACTGTGTTTTTAGGCACTCAAAGTTATGGCCAGACTTGAAAGATGAAGGTAGAATTTTAGGGTGGAAAAATAGTGATTGAGAGACATAGGGCTAAACGGGTTTGTAGGGGATTTTAGTTTATGTGGGTGCGAGTGGAGAGGCGGGATTGGGATGGGATGGAACAAGAGGGTTTGGGAGATAGAAAGAGGGTTGTAGAGTAGCTCAGAAGGCAGTTTTAGTGAATAAAAGGATAGTGGAATGGTTTAAATAGATAATTTATAATGCCTTTGAGATGAATTTCAGTTGTGACGAAGAAAATTATACTATAAAGTAATATCACCCATATGCACAAGTAAATGAAGTCTTCACCTCTAAATCCCAAATGAAGCAACTTTGCTATTCACTTTAAACAGACCAAAATCATTCTCTACAAAACTTCATCACATAAACTCCCTTTCAGCATCATCCTCCTCTCTTTATGTCACCCTTATATCACCACGCCACCTATATATTCATGCTTATGGTCTATATCCTACATAACTTGCTCAATGGCCACTTTTGAGCTATGCATACATTCTATAGTCTGGCTTACCTCCCATCGTTTAAATTTTGATTTTAAATTACAACCAAATTTACCAAAAATGGGGTTTTGGGGTTTTGGGGTTTTGGGGG